TTGAAATGTTTCCACTTGACTGCAGTTTTCTGGAATTTTGTTTTCCTCCTTTTGTGTTCAGTTCTTCCATCTTTCATGACTATATTTTTGTAGCAGCTAAAGGGACAATTCTGATAGTAAAGCTGTAGTATGTATGCTTAAATCTTGCTTCTAGGTACGTATTAGCATATATATCAGGAGAGAGCAATAATTTTTGATACATGGACCATGCTAATATTTTGGTAAGTGCTCAAGAGACACACTTCTCTATCAAGGGGACACAAGGTCTGGGACAGAGGTTGGGTGCAGAAGGGAGCTGGAGATAGGGAACTGGAGTTCAGAAGAGGGTGTGGGGTCTGAAAGGGAGTTTGAGTGAAGGAGGGGGTTGTGATCTGGAGCAGAGGCTTGGGATGTAGGGAGTTTGGGTGCTGGAGAGGATTCTGGCCTGAAGGAGGGATACATACAAAGGGGTCCAGGATCCGGGAGAGAGTTGTGACTTGAGGAAGAAGAGGGAGGTGTAGAGGGTTTTGAAGGTGGCCAGGGAGTTGGGGGAAGGGAGGGACTGGGGTGCTAAAGGAAGGCTCTGGCTAGGAGGCACATACCTAGATGGCTCCTGGCCAGCAGCCCTGCAGGATCCTGAGTCAGGTTTCCTGCCTGCTGCAGCACCAGGCTGGTCAAAATAGCTGGTTGCTCCCTGTGGCTGTCTGCTCCAAGCACCAGGGGGAGGGGAAGGATTCACGTGCTGCAGCCCCACTCCTACCAAAATCTCTCAGCTCCCACTGGCTGGTTTCTGTGAAGCCTCCTCCTCCCTCAGCACCCGGAGCAAAGAGCACAGGTAGTAGCCATCCATTTAAAGTGGTGTGGGGCTGTTCTGAAGCAGCTGGCTGCTCTGTGCCTGAGGGTGCCATCAGGGCAGCTCTGGGCCGGATTGGGCCGTCTGTGGGCCAGATCCAGTGGTCTGGCAGGCTGGAGCCAGCCAATGGGCCGTCACTTTCTCACCCCACTATATATAGTAAATTGAGAACAGCTTATCGACAAAGCTTATCTAGATCCTTTTATCTAGAATTTATCTTTTCCAAAGATCTTAGGAATATCACTGAGTATTAATAAAAACTTCAAAAACAGTTCAACTTATTGTGAGAGCAAAATTGAGTAGGCACTCCTGGGGTGGCCTGTATAAGTCATATGTACACTGGATATGTAACCCACACACCTTCTGGGTGTAATGTCCTGTCCCATCTAGTTGCACCGAGACCACTTACAGAGAGAACAATGAGTTTGCTCTTCAGCTGTAGCCAAGAGGAAAGAGCCAGCTGGCTTTTAGCTCATGCGGAGATGACCAGGGTCTGTGGGTATTACATTGAAGATGCAACATTGGACATTACAATTACCTGCCTAGAGTTAATTTGGTAAATTTAGTTGTGAAAAAGTAACAGCAGAATGTGTATGCAAGTTAATAAAGTTGCTTAGGCCTCAATCTAGCCAGCACACAACTGTTAATATCGTTGGTTACAATTGTGTAAATTGCCCTGGTGTCTACAGGGATGGCAAATAGGCGAGACCTTTGTGTTAAATCTTCTCTGAAGGACGGTTTGACACCTTGTGCATGTACATTCATTCCTTTTTCCAGACTATGATAAACCATACACAAAGTATGCCTGATGAGAGCTCATTTGAAAACACAATTTACTGATTATTGTCCTAATAAACTATGTGTGGCAATAGTGTATGTAAATTTAGCGATTCTGCTGTATACTACTAAAGACACAGAGTGAGGTCACAGAAGATCCCTTGGGGGTGCCTCCCTGAGTTCTGACAAGGCCACTGGCACTTACCTCCTTGCTCTCTGGAACTTCTCACCGCCTGGTCCTGCTGGGCCATCTCACCTGGTCTCCCCCAGTTGAGATCAATGAGAAGCAAGGCAGACACTGAATCTCTTCAGGGCCAAGGAGAATGCAGTCTAGGGCCCTGCCTCCTGGGATAACACTCTCCAGCTGGGATCAGAACCTCAAAGGAATTATTTAGGTACGCCCCCTTTGACAATGAAAGGGAAAATGCACACACTGTTTGCTCCCCCAGGTAATAATTATTTATAGTGGGTTTGATAGAAAATAAAAGTGATTTTATTAAGTATAAGCAGTAGGATTTAAGTGGTAATAAGTGAAAACAGGCAAAGTAGATTACAAACTCAAAATAACAAAAAATGCTTAGCTAATTCTACACTGAAACTTCAGTACAAGCTTGTTACAGATTCATTATAAACTCACTCTGAACAGTTTCTTTTCCAGCTCAGCCTTCAAACCAGAAAAATCTCCTTTTCCCTGGGGCCTTTGGTTCATTCCCCTGAGTATGCCCATCAAACACCCAGCACTCCTATTTCCCTATTGTTTTTAAAGCTTCCTATCTTACATGGGAAGTCACTGGCCAGTTGGGTTGGACATGTGATTTCCCCAGACCAATCACTGCTAAGACTTAAAAGAGAATGTTTAACAGTTGGTCATCAGGACAGTGAGAGTAACATCCGTGATGGCTTTCATTCACACATTTAAAAACCTTAAAGCATTCCACACAAGAGGGATATATACACCAAGATTAGATAAACAGATGCAGGGGATTCAAACATGGAGATTGATAGCTTACATGAAGCAGTTTGTCCCAAGCATCTTTGAGTTTTATGTAGATTTGTGTTCTTAAATCCATTTAATAAAGCAGTGGGAAACATGTTGAGTTTGAGGAAGAGTGACAAATGAGTGCCAGAGACAAAAGTCAGCTGATGCCTCTGCCAGGTGTCAACAGAAATAAAATGGACTCTCACCTGGGTAAGTGGCCATTGTGAGAGAAAAGAGGATGAAGGCAAAAACTACATCTTGAAAAAGAAACAGCTTAGGGTTCCGGTCCACAGCCTTTTGCCTCCTGAGCCTCAGCTGGGATGAGTCTCAGACACCCCAAATTATTCCTTTCTTTCTATTCATGGCATCAATGACCCTTGAAGAACAAAGCAGCATTGAACTGGGGGGGAGGAGGAGAAGAGACAGAGGGATTCTGAGTAAAAGGAATTCCGACTGCTGTAATGTGCAGTGAGAGATCTTTGCTTTAAATTCATTTAGTTTATTAAAGATTAGTTTTACTTTCTTGTAATCTGGTCTGACTTAGTCCTCATTACACATAATCACTTGATTTCTTGTAGTTAATAAACTTACATTAAACTAGTGTGTTTGGCAAACTGTATTTGGTGTAATAGGATTTCTGTATATCAACAAAATGGCAGACTTTATATGAGCCTGTATTGTCCATGATCATACAAGATGTTCTGTTTTGGGAAGATCTGGGTCTAGAAATGTGTTGATGTTGATCTGCCATGTCATTCAAGAGTAGCTGGCTGTATCATGCTTGCAGTATAACGGGGAAAAGTTGAATGCTGGAGGTGTATATCAACAGACCAGGTGTGGTGTGACAATTCTCACAGCACAGTAGTGTAAAAGGTATCCTATGTCAGAGAACTGAAGGGACACAACTGTTCATTGGTCCAGAAAGTACCCTGAGTAGCATGAGCAGTGCAGCAATTCAGCAATATGTTGTTCAGCTAGGAGGAGGAATTTCTGGTACACAAGTTTACTACTGATTCAGAGGGAGTTGAGCCATCCACCAATAGCCTTTGGCTGCGTCTAGACTGGTAAGATTTAGTGCAAATACTCTAAACGCAAGAGTTTTTGCATCAGAGTATTTGAGTAAGAGAGCGTCTATACTGCCATGTACCCTTGTGCAAAAGATTTGCTTTTGCGCAAAAGCATCCGTGCCAGTGTAGACGCTCTCTTGAGCAAGAACGCTCCCATGGCCATTTTAGCCATCGGGCTTTCTTGCGCAAGAAATTGATGTTACTGTCTACATTGGCCTCTTGCGCAAGAACACTTGCGCAAGAGGACTTATCCCTGAGCGGGAGCATCAGAGTCTTTGCGCAAGAAGCACTGATTTCATACAGTAGAACGTCAGTGTTCTTGCGCAGATACTCATGGCCAGTGTAGACAGGTGGCAAGATTTTGCGCAAAAGTGGTTGCTTTTGCGCTAAATCTTGCCAACGTAGACACAGCCTTTGGCTACGTCTACACTGGCCCCTTTTCCGGAAGGGGCACGTTAATTTCACCTATCGTAGTAGGGAAATCCGCGGGGGATTTAAATATCCCCCGCGGCATTTAAATAAAAATGTCCGCCGCTTTTTTCCGGCTTTTAAAAAAGCCGGAAAAGAGCGTCTACACTGGCCCCGATCCTCCGGAAAAAGCGCCCTTTTCCGGAGGCTCTTATTCCTACTTCAAAGGAATAAGTAGGAATTTAAATCCCCCGCGGATTTCCCTACTACGATAGGTGAAATTAACATGCCCCTTCCGGAAAAGGGGCCAGTGTAGACGTAGCCTTTGAGTATAAGCAAAACAGATAAGTAGCCCAATAGAAGCAGTGGAATGCCATGTTCCTACAAATATGCACTCAGGATTTACCTGGTGTTGTTTGGGCCCTTAACTCAAATTCTGTTATTCTTCATTCAAATATAGATTCTGGGGTGTCCATGGTTGCTGCAGCAGGTACAGCCAGGAGCAGAGTGCATGATCCTCAGCTGGGGGAGGGGGGACAGTCAAACTCTGCAACAGATAGTAGCTAGCTGTTCCTTTCTCCATCCCTGCCAGCCCAATGGAGTTATCCCATTTCTGGTGTTTGTTGCCCCCTTGTGGTCATTCTACAGTATATTTCCCTCCTATCAGACCCCTCCCTTTCCATTTTATTAGAAACTATCAAATTCCAGGCACATCCCATTGTCGTGGCACAACCAAACCCTGACCTTGCTTAAGTTATCATAAGAGGAAACTGCATACCAAATTTGGTGGTCCTACCTCTTACCATTTAGGTGAAGTTCTTGAACAAATGGTCTCAGACAGACATTTCTAAAATATTTAGTACAATAAATATGTACAAAACATTAATGTCCTTCATCTTGGAGAAATATAGAACTACAAATAACTTAAAAAGCAGTGTACTGAATAACTGTTTATTGTAACTTCTGCAGCAATTATAAGAATCATAACCCCCCCTTCATTTTAAAAAAAGTCTTAAAGATATCCATTTAATATTTACCAAAAACAGTAAAAATATTTAAAAATGAGTACATAATACAAGCTGTAATTGATATAATTTGTAACTCGAGTGTTGCTACACCCGTGGGCTTGAAGTAGTAACCCAAATACACGGGTTTAATCTTCAGCACCTCACCATAAAGTTGTTCCAGCACCATTTTATAATAGTAATTCTCATTTGTTTAACTATATAAACAGCTACAGTTTTCCCAGCATAGAAATTAGAAAATATTTTTTCTTTTAAAAACCTTATTGTAAAAAGAGCCCCTCCCTCTTTTAAGCTAAATAATCCAATCAACTGTTTTAAGATAAGAAAAAGCCAGAGTCTGAGTTTCCAAATAAATGATTGTTATTTTAGAGTAAGAGAATCTGAAAGGTTAAATGAACTTCAACATTCTATATCTAGGAGCCATAATGCCTACGATACACAGAGAAGCTATGTTATAGATTAGATTCTGTGATGCACTTTGGAAGAGGCACTGCACAGAATGCCCAGATGAGGAGGAAGAGTATAAAGGGGTGGTCAAGGAGCTTTAAATCACTATTGCATCTCCTGGATTTGAAGCCAAAGCATCTCTGTGCCTGACAACTTACATTAGCCTCTCCCGTGGCTGCCAACAGGCTACTCCACAGACTAGGATGGTGCTTCAACTATTCCCCTTCTGCCTCTGATTTGCCCCTAGCATATCCTAGCAGAGACTGTGAGGAGTGACAGCACTGGTTTGCATGCATTGGCCCTGTGCTACTTCTCTTCTGGGAGAATTCTTTTAGGGGCTGTTGCAACCTCTCTGCAATCTCTGTACGTGGCTGAAAAGGTGTGCATGGGGTACAGTGATGACTGGAATCTGTGTATCTGCTACTTTTAATCTCCTCCTGTAATCGTTCCATAAGGTAATCTCCAAGGTTGCCTCTGCCATCTTGGGAACACTCAAGCCTGCGAGCATTGGTCAGGAGGTCTCCCATCAACTTGATCTTCCGGATCTTGGGTTCAATAAATTGTTTAACAGTGCTTGCACTATGGGGGTCTGCATTTTCAATACTCAAGGCAAAAAGCTCTTCAAAATATCCTGTCACTGTTTTCCAGTGAACCAAAGCTACTTCAAGGGCCTTTACCACATTGGATACATGTTCACAGTTTGGTCTCTAGAAACAGAAAAAAGTAAGACAGAATTGTCAAAGTTACTATTATGTCCCTAAAACTCCTTGTCTTCCAAACAAGAAATGCATTGCAGGAGGATGTTGGGGTTTTGAAACTGCTTCTTCCATTTCTGTGCATTTAGTAAATCTTTTTTGGAGTCAGTGGTCAGATTCTGCCCCTTCCAGTGTGAACAACATGTTTCAAGTCAGGCAATAAGGGATTCAAATAACTGCAGCTAAAATGGAGGTGTATTCTCAAAACAAAAACAAAATACAAAAAACCCAAACCTCTGTGTGCACTATGGAAATGGAACATGTTACGTTTTTCAAGGTCACCTTTATTTACTCATAGCTGCTATAAATGAATGCTGTGAAAGGCAAATTATATTACACTGAACTGTTTATAGAACACTAGTTTAATACAGAAGTCTAAGGAGCCTGATTCTCCTTTGAACTTAAGATTTTACACATAATTTCACTTAACTAAAAAATTACTCTTGATTTATACTGCGTAAGAGACTAAAATCTGGCTTCGTCTCTTGGCCAAATTCTGTTATACCAGTATAAAACTGAAGTAACTACTGAGGTTAATGGAGTTGCTCTGGACTTGTACCATAGAAAATTGAGGTCAGAATCTGGCCCTCAGTTACAGAGTCAGGGCAAAAGTTCTGCAGAGCTATCTCTACCAGTGCAACAAACACCAGACTGACTAGGGTAGCAAAAAATATGAATGAGTGACCTCATTTTATCTTTAGCTAGAAAGATAAAAGATAAAAACCCTAGAGTCAGGGCAGCATGTCTAATAAATAAGTCTCGAAACAAGAGAATATATGTAAATATAATTTGGTAATTAAAATATTTGGAAAGCTAATAGCATATAGATCCAAAGGTTGGGAGTGGTGATAGATACACAACAGAAGTTTAGAGGAGTTTGCTGATTATGGAAGAGCAGATTGGTCTCCTGCTCACCTGGATGATTCTGGTACAGTAATGGCCTCCTCTTTCTTGTTGGTATTTCAGCATGGCCTCTGCAGCTTCCTTCTCTTCTTTAGCCTGCTGCCGGAAAAACTTTGAAAAGTTTGGTAGAGCCACGTCAGACTGATCAAAAACTTCACCCTACATATTTAAATAATAAAATGTACTGTTAGTTTGAAAGCCTGGAGTTGGGAGGAAAGGGGAAATTAATATCCAACAAAATACAGGTTAATCAGAGCTGATATTTAAAGAACAAAGGAAAACATTTTTGATAGGGCTTGTGCTTCTAACTGCCTTTGGCTCTTTAAAAAATTTCCACCTCACATATAGTAAATGGAAGTATGTTCAAACGTTTCTCCAGATCAGTAGCCTGTATCTTTTTTAAAATACACACGCCAGTCCTCCGAACATTAGACATGAGTCTATTGCATTGGTGACACTGTTTGCTTTGAGTGATATGCTTCTACAACTTCTAGTTTCAATGGGTTTTTGAATTTTGGGGAAAAAAACCCAGACAATTTCTGAAAGCCGTTTATCCGTAGGAAAAAGTATTCAGACCCTTTCACCATCACCATTAGCAGACCTAGAAGAACCTATTTAGGGCACCAAAATCATGAGCTTCTCCTCCCCTGTCCATCAGAGATGACACATAAGAGAGGCCTACGGGAAGGGGCAAGTGCCTTAGAGTGGCCTACCAGGGGTAGGGAGAGGGACTCCCACCTACTTCCCCTCCAGGCTCTCAGGCAGAAGTGGCTCCATTCCACTGCCCACCTGGCTGTCAGGGAGAGCTGCTAAACATGTTGTAGAAAGTCACACACCTTCCCCTATAGTTTGTGGCCCCAGTAAGTGGAAGCCTATGGTAGAGGGGAGGGTCTCCTTTGAGGGGCACTGGCCCAAAGGGCAGCACTGGATGATGCTGGGTAGATGAGAAATTAATTCAAGGCGGGGGAGAAGATCCCTCAAATCTGGGCACTGGTCCTGGGTTTGATACTGGATGATCCAGGGGGAAAAGGGTGAGAGATGCAGTCCATGGGAGGGGCAGCTGGTGAAGGGGGTGGTGTTGGAGGAGGGACTATAGAGGTGCCAGCAGGCTCAGGTAGTTGACTCAGTTTCATCTAAGAAGATGGGAGAAGAGTTTGAGGTGTCACCTTGAAATCTCTCAGATTCAGTAGGGCCAGCCCCATTGAGACATCCCTATACTCAGCTCTTGGATGAGAATTTGCAGACCCAGCATGCCTATCCCTTACTTCCCTACCAACAAAACATTAGCTTCTAAAAGGATAATTAGCAAAAATACCATCGGATAGGAAGCAAAACATTGCACTATTGAAGAGGGGCCTCCATATGCTTCCAGCAATGGAGGGGAAACAAGCCATGGTGATTTGGGGGCTCTCCCTTCCACTGTGCTTTTAATGGCTCCAAAACTCATGCTATGGGAAGAAAACCGAGACATAGTTTCTATTGTGACTTTTGTATCTAAATTTGCCAAGTCAAATAGCTCTGATTCTCAACATTGCAATGCCTCTTTTTTTTAGTCAGATTTTGCTTTATGCAGCAGTAGGGGTCTGCCATAATGGCCAGATGTTAGGCACTGGCAGCTGCGGTGTGGCTAGAGGCTGTCAGGACCAGCTTCTGTTTTTCTACATTTTGTTCCTCCGGTTTCCCGGGCAACACCGGGTAAGTCCAGCTAGCAGTTATAGGAGAGAGACAGACAATCATTTACATAAAGCATGAACATTTCATTTTTATTTTCCAAGAAGAAAAACTTCATTGAGTTAAGGTTCCTAGCAAAGCCGGATAATGCTGCTTGTTATAAATATAAAAACATTATTGGATAAATTCAGCTCCTCTGAATTAATTTGTAGTAGGGGTGTTAAAATGTGTTTAGATAAATCTGTAACTGCTGAAATTTTTAACAGTTACACATGGTGATGAGGGACTTCAACTACCCAGATATATGTTGGGAAACTAACACAGCGGGACACAGACTATGCAATAAGTTCTTGGACTGCATTGAAGACAATTTTTTATTTCAGAAGGTTGAAAAAGCTACTACGGGGGAAGCAGTTCTAGACTTGATTTTAACAAATAGGGTGGAACTGGTGAAGAATTTGAAAGAGGAAGGCAGCTTGGGTGAAAGTGATCATGAAATCATAGAGTTCATTATTCCAAGGTATGGTAGAAGGGAGAACAGCAAATTAGAGACAATGGATTTCAGGAAGGCAGATTTTGGAAAGCTCAGAGAGCTGGTAGGTAAGATCCAATGGGAAGCAAGACTGAGGAGGAAAAACAACTGAAGAGAGTTGGCAGTTTTTCAAAGGGACATTGTGAAGGGCCCAAAAGCAAGCTATTCGACTGCGTAGGAAAGATAGAAAATATGGCAAAAGTCCACCTTGGATCAACCAGGAGATCTTGCATGATCTAAAAATAAAAAAGGAGTCATATAAAAAATGGAAACTAGGACAAATTACAAAGGATGAATATAAGCATACAATACAAGAATGCAGGGGCAAGATTAGAAAGGCAAAGGCACAAAACGAGCTCAAACTAGCTACAGGCATAAAGGGAAACAAGACGACATTGTATAAATATATTAGACGCAAGAGAAAGTCCAAGGACAGGGTAGGCCCATTGCCCAGTGACGAGGGGGAAACAGTAACAGGAAACTTGGAAATGGCAGAGATGCTTAATGACTTTTGTTTTGGTCTTCACTGAGAAGTTTGATGAAAGAATGCCTGACTTACAGATATTTGCAGATGAATTCCTTCATTACTTGCTCCATTATCTTTCCTGGCACGGAAGTTAAACTGACAGGTCTGTAGTTTCCTGGGTTGTTCTTATTTCCCTTTTTATAGATGGGCACTATATTTGCCCTTTTCCAGTCTTCTGTGATCTCTCCTGTCTTCCATGCTTTTTCAAAGATGATAGCTAAAGGCTCAGATATCTCCTCTATCAGCTCCTTGAGTATCCTAGGAATTCTAGAGCAGGAGGCTGTTGGCACAGAGATTCTGTAATAGCTCATTCATAATTAAGGAATTAATTTGCAAATATCTGGAAGAAAAAAATAAGGTGACAGGTAACAGCCAGCATGGATTTGTAAAGAACAAAGCATGTCAAACCAAGCCAATAGCTTTCTTTGATAGGATAAGTTTTTTGGATAAGGGAGAAGCTGTGGACGTGGTATACCTAGACTTTAGTAAGGCATTTAATACAGTCTCGCATGATCTTCATATCAATAAAACTGGGCAAGTATAACTTAGAGGAGTCTACTATAAGGTGAGTGCATAACTGGCTGGATAACCATTCTCAGGGAGTAGTTATTAATGGTTCACAATCATGCTGGAAGGGCATAACAAGTGAGGTTCTGCAGAGGTCTATTCTGGGCCTGGTTCTGTTCAATATCTTCATCAACGATTTAGATATTACCATAGAGAGTACGCTTATTAAGTTTGTGAATGATACCAAGCTGGGAGGGGTTGCAACTGCTTTGGAGGATAGGGTCATAATTCAAAATGATTTGGATAAACTGGAGAAATGGTCTGAAGTAAATAGGATGAAATTTAATAAGGACAAATGCAAAGTACTCCACTTAGGAAGGAACAATCAGTTTCACACATACAGAATAGGAAGCGACCGTCTGGAAAGGAGTACTACAGAAAGGGATCTAGGCGTTATAGTGGACCACAAGCTAAATATGAGTCAGCGGTGTAACACTGTTGCAAAAAAAAGCAATGTGATTCTACGATGCATTAACAGATGTGTGGTGAGCAAGACATGAGAAGTCATTCTTCTGCTCTACTCTGCGCTGATTAGGCTTCAGCTGGAGTATTGTGTCCAGTTCTGAGCACCACATTTGAAGAAAGATGTGGAGAAATTGGAGAAGGTCCAGAGAGGAGCAGCAAGAATGATTAAAGGGCTAGAGAACATGACCTATGAAGGAAGGCTGAAAGAATTGGGCTTGGTTAGTGTGGAAAAGAGAAGATTGAGAGGGGACATGATAACGGTTTTCAGGTATCTAAAAGGGTGTCGCAAGGAGGAAGGAGAAAACTTGTTCTTCCTGGCCTCTGAGGTTAGGACAAGAAGCAATGGGCTTAAACTGCAGCAAGAGAGGTTTAGGTTGGACATTAGGAAAAAGTTACCAACTGCCAGGCTGGTTAAACACTGGAATAAATTGCCCAGGGAGGTTGTGGAATCTCCATCTCTGGAGATATTTAAAACTGGATTCGATGACCTTTCGAGGTCCCTTACAGTCTTAGTATTCTATGATTCACATGTGGGAGGAGGCCCCCTATGAAACACGGCCTCCAAGTCCATAACAAAGGTGCTAGTAAACATTTTCACCAGCATACATCTACCAAAAGAGAGTCAATGACAGGCGAGTCTGCTCCCTGTGCATACTGACTCCACCTGCCCCCACCTGTGCTGCTGTGAGTCAGATCAATAAGCATTTTGTCTAAGGAGTGCAGCATGGGGCATGAGGTAGAGTGCTGATCATCTTTGTTCCTTAAGAACTGATAGATAGCTTTTTTGTAAAGTACACATTTCTTTAATATTTGATTTATCAGCAGCCTGATATGTTTGACCTGTCTGTTATGGGCTTTTGTTACTCAGAGTGAAACTAAAGACTTTTCTCTGGAAATCCAGGCATTAAATATTTTTAAATCCGTGTAAGACAGGCATATCAAACAGGCCTCTGACAGGCCGCATGCAGCCCGATCAAAATTTTCTGCAGCCAGCCACTACATTTTTATAAAAGAATAAAGTGCGGCCCACTGGCCACTCCAAGCACGTGGCCAAGTGCAGTTCACAGCTCGCCAACCGGCCACTCTGCCCACGGCACCGCAGTGACTGCTCACGACCAGCTGGTCCGCTTAGCATGGCTTTTTGTCTGCCATGAGGACTTTTTCCTTCAGGCTGCCATGAGATTCTATCCTTAAGTATAGGAGAGAGGTCTCTCTGAGCTGCTCTTCCAAATTTCACACAAGCCATTTAACTGAAGCCGTAGATATCAAGATTCAAGACCAATTTTGCCGTGAGCCGATTGTGAACACTTGGAGAGGCAATCACAACATCCGAACATGTATAAGACTTTTAGCTGAGAGAGCCATGTTAATCCCAAATCTCTGCTATGACTAGGAGATGGAAAATCTGCAACAAAACATGGGGTGATCTATCACTTCAGTAATGTCAACTCCTTTAGAATTGAGGCTCTGATTATCCAGCACCAGCTGAGGTAGAGTGCTTGGCTCTGGGGGAATGGAGGAGGATATTCTGTTAATGTTTGGGGGGTTATTTATTTATTTCCAAATAAAATCACAACATGTATATTAATTTTATATCAATAAATGGGTCAATTTTTGCAATTGCATGATTATATATTTATGCAAAATCTCAAACTTAAAATATCTGAAATTTTCACAGAAGCCTGTACTATTTGATTAACCACTGTCTATACCTTTTTTTATTTCAACAAAATAAGTCTGTATCCTATAAAAAAATTAAAGTACCTTAAATGTATATTTAAATTAAAAATTATTTTATGGGGGCAAATAATTTTACACAAATTTTACTATATTATATTAAAACAAGGCCTGAAAAATTATAAAATATACCTAAAACATAATCTATAAAAATAAATAGATATGACTTTCCGATAGAAGTACATTTTCTTTGGTGGCCCTGAAAGCTATCAGTTTTCGTTTGTGTGGCCCTCAGTAGGCTTGGAGTTTGACATGCCTAATGTAAGACAATCCTACTTGCCGGTCTTCTAGTATCAGTGATGTTCACAGGAAAACAGACTATTCTTTCACTGATTCACCAACACAACCAGTTTTTGTCACACACAACCTCCAAATCTTCCAAATAATATAGCCCCAAACTGCTAGAATTCATTGTATGGAAAACTTGGTGCAGATCAGCTTACAAGCTTTGCAAAAGAGACATGGCACTAATTTATTGTAGGATACAGGCAGTCCCCGGGTTACATGGATCCGACTTACATCGGATCCCTACTTACAAACGGGGTGAGGCAACCCCGCACTAGCTGCTTCCCCCCAGCAGACCAGGGAGACGCGAAGCTAGCACAGGGAGACGCGGAGCGGCTTTTCTTAGCAGACACCTCAGCTTGAGAATAAAGGACTGAGCGAAGTGAGGTGTGGGAGAATAAAACTGAGCTCTGGAGAAATGTTTGGCTAGATATGTACCAGTATGTACCAGTTCTGACTTACATACAAATTCAACTTAGGAACAAACCTACAGTCCCTATCTTGTACGTAACCCGGGGACTGCCTGTAGTTTGGTCAGTGTATCTCTAGTGATTTTACTGGATTTGCACTAGTATAAAATTGGAGTAACAATGGTGGAACAGTCCCATGTATTTTTAGATTTAAGTACAAAAAATATCTCTTCAAATGCATTGAAGCCTACAATCAGCCATCCAACAGTTGTCAATATTAGGACAAAATAGTAAGATTAAATTAACAGAAGCTCAGAATGTATCATTCTTTTGCTTCTACTAATTGATTTGTTCTTCTTCAACTAGTGCTAATTTCAGCTGAAAACAGTGGATGAGAGCAAATTCTGGCCTGCTGTGAACTTTTGGGGGTATATATTTAGCACTCACTCTAGTAACTAAAATGCTGAGCTAGATCTTACTCTAGTAACTAAAATGCTGAGCTAGATCCTCAGTTGGTGCAAATTAGCTAACACAGAATATACTGTACAAAGTTAACCCTCTGTGAGAATCTACAGGTTGCATGTTTCTTGCAGATAATGGTCTTCCCTTTCCCCATCCTCAACCAGCCTTCACCAAAACCATCTAAACACTGATGCACTGAAAAACAACTGGAGATCCTGATGCTTTTATACACCCCTAAATTTGAACTCCATACTTCCATTATAACTCCAGCAGCAAGATCAGTGCAGGGGTAAAACTGGGAGTATGTCTAGACTGCACGGGGTTTTCAGGATACTGGTGGTATCCCGAAAATACTCCACCGCGTCCAGGGAACATGCTTTCTCTTCTGCTTTTTTTTGCAGAAGGGAAGACATATTCTTCCAGAAGCCCTGTCTTCCGCCTTCCATAAAGAAGAAGGGAACTTCCGAAAGAGGAGGTTTTTTTCAGAAATTTGGCCCAGTGTAGACGGGCCAAATTTCAGAAAATCTTCTTCTGACAAAAGTATCGGTAAAAGGTACACAAATTGCAGAGCACAATTTACATACCTTCCCCAAAAACCATGGTAGTGTAGACATAGCCTGAGAGGGGGAGATTTAAGCTCTGGCTCGCTCCATAGAGTTTCATTATAATTGATGTCACTCTATGCAAGTTTCCATTTGTGTCTAAGGCCCTACATCCACAGGCTCTCCTATATTTAGCCCAAGGACTCCCAGGCATGGCTCCAAGGCACCATCACGTTGCTGACTGGGCGGTACATCTAACCCCCTACCTCTGCGCCAGGCAGCTTCAGATGGAGCGGGGAAGGGAAGAGGGTGCTGAAGAAAGCAATCGCGAGACGCTGTGTGTGTGTGTGGGGGGGGGGGCGATTT